AAGAACCTCACACACTAATAATCTCAAGAAATCGTTTCTGATGTGGAAGATTAAACAGAGCTGCAACCATATAGCATACTAAGAATTCCAAGAGATCGACAATTTACACTAACCTCGCTCTGATACCAAATTATTGAACACAACTCTATGTGGGAAACATTCGCACTCTTAAAAGAGAATACAAGACAAGAGAATACCTTGCTCTAATACTAAATTATTGAACACAACTCTATGAAACAGTCGCACTCTTAAAAGAGAATACAAGACTCTCTAGAATACTAGAGCTTTGTATTGTTTGGGATGATGAACTAAATATAGGGTGGAGGGGTATTTATATTTAAAATTTCTCTAACAATGATAACTCTATTGGGGTAGTGATGATCATTTTTTCTACTCATGCAATGATAACTTCTACTCATGCTATTATTGACATGTTCTCATATAACGATCGACTTTTTGTGGAACTCGAACCATGGATCATTACTCAAGGATGTAGAGTTTTAAAACATTTGAACACATGCATGTAATTTGAAATTTAATTAAAAGAGTAATGTTTATTTTTATAAAGAAAAGAGAAAATACCACTAAGATACAACACCCTTCAATCAAACTATTTAAAATACATGAAAGGCCGGATTTAAAGGTAAGTACAAAGAAACTCGAGACTCAAGTGTGATGGAACTCTATATAGCCAACAGTCCCGTATGCCTCCGTCTTGACTGCCACATCAATCTCCACTTGAAAAGAAAGTTGTAGTAGGGATGAGTATGTAAAATATACTCAGTAAGCAGCTTGCTGGAAGTTCATATTTCTTATTAATCTTGTTCCTACGTTCGGTATCTTGTTCGCCTATTGAGATTTGTTCTCCCGTATAGGCTTCTTCTCAGGCTACACCCTAAGATTTCTCATTCTACTCTCTTGGTTCATGGTCCTATCTGGACCTCCAGCCCTCGAAATATTCTTAGGTCCTCTAGGTCTCTTGGTTAGTCATTTCTGCTAGTCTCTCATCATCGTCATCATATCTCAAAGCACTTGAGGCGCGACCTCGGTGCTCAAGGTTCATGCATTCTAAGAATTGACTAACTCTCAAGTGTACCACTGTAAACCCCTGTCATTCGTGACACGTTCACTTAAAGGAAATTAAATGGCAAACTTCCTATGAGTCTCTACAAGGAATCATCAACAATAAAATGACCAGTTCTATAGTTACGCGGACCCCTGACAATCGAGTTAGGTTTACGGTTAGAGGTTAGTTGGCGAACCACTAATCGTCCCCGGGTAACCGCTAATACTGTTACATATGTGACAGAAGAATAACATAATGATCTAATCATGGAAAGCTAGTCATGAATCTCAATTCATAAGGTAGTGCATACGTTTTTATCAACGTGTGTCATCTCAACTCATCATATGCTCATACTTCTAAAACATATTCTTATATCATACTTTTATGCATACTAGGAGCATAGCTAAATTCAAGATTTCGAGGTGCCACCTACCTAAAAAGCCTGACATTTTTATTTGAGTTTACTTTATCAAACAAACTTCAAAATTTTCTAAACTCTTCAATTGGGTCCTACATTCGTAAAAATGAGGAAATAAATGAAAACGACGCCAAAATCAGAGTTAAAACAGAGAATTTACGCAAAAGGAGCAAAACCCCCTAGTCTAATTAGACCGGACTGCCGCGGACCGGGTTGGCCGCCACGTGTCACCCGCGCCCGGGTTGGGCCGCAGAGAGCACGCGCGATTGGCCTCGCAGGCTGCACGTGCTATGGCCCGAAGGTCGTATGCGCGCGATGGGCCGCGCATGCCGCATGCGCGCAATGGGTCGCGCAGGACGCATGCGCGCGGGTCGGCCCGCAAGGTTTTCCCTCTTCTCCTGATTTTTTTCCTTCTCTTTCCCGTACCTCTATCGTCGACAAGCTTCTTCCCCCTTTGTTTGTCTCCCCCGATTTCGTTTCCGACGCCTACAACTATCCTCAACCCTCGTCGATCTACTCAAGATGAAATCATAGATGGTCATCTTCTACACATTTGAGAGTTCTTGAAAAGAAACGCATACAAAACCCTTACCCAAAGCGATGCCTTGATTCTCCGCCTCCTTCCGCCCCTTTCGACCCCTTTTTCTCCACTGGCCTCAAACTTCAAGCCCCAGCCTTAAGAATCCTCTAACTTTTCTCCTAATCGATCGGTGGATGCTTGTGAGTCTCTAGCTGATGTGGGCTTGCAACGAGTTCTTCGAGCAAGTAGTCTTTGAGAGTTCGTGCGTTTCTCCTCCATCTCCGACGTCTCTCAAACCTCCTCTTGATATGAACCAAAAGACATCAATCATACAATATACTTCAACGAAGATGTGAAGAAAAGGTTGTCAAAACTATCCAAAGATGTTTCAATTCATGTCACATAAGAATGAAGTTCGATTGTTGTAAATTTTGGGTGGGTTACAATTTAGAGTTATTGTATTTCATTCATGTATTTTAAAACTTTATTTCCTATAGGTTAGAATTACATAATGGTTAATTATGGCTTATTGGAATGCCTTTAATAGTTTGATTTTGAGGCTATATAAATACATGTATGTTGTATGTGTAAGAGACTTGAAAAATATAGTAAAAAGAAGCATTTGTGCTCTTCTTTACCCAATGACTAAGTTTCTTTGCAATTCTATGTAGTTTATGTTGCATGTAGAATCATTCAAGCTCGACATGATCAACCTTGCTTATGGAGTGATTCGAATCTCAAACAAATGTTCATGCTTTGAGATATTTGATCAACAAGAATCATTCAAGCTAGACATGATCGATCTTGCTTGTGGAGTGATTCGAATCTCAAACAATATTCTTGCCTTGAGATATTCAATCAACAAGGTAATCCGAATCTTACTCCCCTTGTAGTGATTTTCCATATCACCTCTCCTCTACCCTTGAATGGCCTTGAAAATGGGCAACTCGAGCTGTCTTTCACTACTACGGTCGTCATCGATGGCAAGGTACGGTCGCACCTGCCACACGCTTCCTCCTTTTATTTAATTTATTTATTTGTTTTATTGCTATTACCCAGCAGGTATTACAAGTCAACATCTCTCTACTAGGCTCCATAACAAAACATCATAAGGAGGGAGCAACCCTCCATCTAACCAAAGCATATCTTTATATATGTGATTCTTTATTCTCATCCAAACGGGAGTGGTTTGAGATTTCCTAACTGCTACCATATGCTACTCATAAAGTTCTCCTAAGCTTCATTAATTTTAAGGCTCAAAGTCTAATTCTACCCACTCATAAAGGTATTACTATGATTCATTGCTAAACGGGGTAAGCTCACTAATAGAAAATTAACTGGAAAACCTCTAGTTGAGCTTATAGAATACAAATCAATTATAGCCAGTTCTAAAATGTTATCAGACCCTCGACAATCAACCTAAGTTCACGATTAAGGTTTAGTTGGCAAACTCCTAATCATCCACATGTAACAACATAATCATAACAATCATGAATATAAAAAAAAAAAAAAAAAAAAAGAAAGAACATAATATAATATTCTAAATATGAATACCTAGTGATGCTTTTAATTTCGTTAATTTCAAGTTTGTTTCATCATTTTCCTTATAATATACTCCAATATATACATCTTAATCCATTGTGTTTAGGGTCTTAAAAGACCCAAAAATTTCCAAACCAAGGTTCCATTTCAACAAAACATCACAATTCTAATTATAAAATAACCTTACTAAATTCTTTAAAGTACCATGAAATTATATGTGGGGATTAGATTGTGACGGGTTATCTCATGACCTCCACAACCATTATCATTATCGTAAACCACTATGAATGCCTTTACCAAAAACTATTTAAAAAAAGTTAAAAAATTTAAAATACTCAAATAATAACTCTAGGATTCAGAAAATACAAATACATTCAAACATGACTATGACTATCATGATTATAATGAAACTTAAAACTGAACTTGACCCGAGAAAATTGGATGTGCATCATTCTTTTTCTCCTAAGTTTGACTACAGGCAGTTTACGCTTACATAAAAGAAATTCGTGATGGTAAAGGTAACCTAAGACGACAATGACCATATACATGCACGAGCTTCCACAGATACAAATAGTAATTGTGTGATATATGATGCAACATAAAAATATTTCTGGCACAATTCATTTTCATAGCTCGTGACTATTAATGACCATTTAACTAAGTAACATATGACCATTCATTACTATTTATCTCAATAACAGTGACTATTCATCATCATTCATCTAAAAAAATTCTTGATTATTCGGGTAAAATTCAATCATCCAATTTAGCCCAATCCAACAAAATATAATTCTTAGATGTCATAATTCTCATTTATTTTGGTTATTAATTCTTATTTATTTTGGTTATTAAATATTCTTATTTATTTTAGCTATTAACTCAGTTCATAACCATTTGGATTAATACTTTCTTTCATTTGGTTCAGGTACGAGAATTAGGATTATTTAGCATTGTTCGGAGGTGTGAAATCATGTGGAGTCAAGTGTAGTCATTGTCATTTTGTATTTGGCTAGATGCAATTGGGATGAACTTTGTACGGTAGGAGTGAGAAATACACTTGTAAACACTTTGGTTATAGTGATTGGCTACCACTCATAGATATAAAAGATTTCTTGTCTCTGAACCACGTAAATCTTTGTGTATTTGTTTAATTTTTGTTTGTGTTTGTGGGTGCGTAAGTGCGACTCATCTTGCTTCAACTACTTGGTATGATAGCATTTTTGGTTATGACATTTTGCTACAAAAATTGGGTATCCGAATATTTTAGTTGTGGTATTATAACCAACTAGCATGGAAAGTTGGGGTATTTGGGTTAATCAAAATTGAAGAAGAAAAACAAACATGTATGCATTAAAGTTTGAGACAAAATTGATATAGCATAACAAATTTAAATGTAAAAACTTGATTTTTCATAATCTTTTTCATGAAAAAACATTTAAAAAGAGTAACCCAACATGGAAGAATTTATGAAAGAATTTTATTACTTCATTCTTTTTGGCAAAAGGAAATATGATGAGAGGAAGGTTGAAAAAAATAGTGAAGTACAAATTCATGTTATAAATATGTTCATCAATGTTGAATCCTTAGCAGATGGGAATTGGAGCACCGTTCCACTCTTTCAAGCACTCCAAGATAGAGTCGATCATCTTCCCTTCACACAGAGCTGTGAACACCTTCTCGCACTCTTCTCCCGGAGACATCACTTTTTCTCCTGTCAGTAGATTCGTTCCCAACTCTTCTCTCACAAACCTATACAATGGATAAGATCTGCAGTCCTTTATCTGATTCTCAATTTTGGAATTTCCACTCTCGTACCACGACCTTGCATTTTCGACTTCTTTTGGTAACACTGCCTTTAGTTCCTCCTCGAAAGCCCCAATCTTTTGGAAGATTGAAGTGTCTGCGTCCTTTTCACAATCACCATTGCCAAGTGCGTGCTCAACAAGGACTTGCCTCAACTTTTGGCTCAATGGGTAAGTGGCACTGCATGGATCATCGATATAAGCGAAGGTGTACTCTCTGTCCACAACCTTTAGAAGATCCTTCTCACAAAACCTTGATGGGTGAAGCGCTCCATTAGAGGATGTGTTCAACACTTTCTTGGCTGTTTGGCTAACACAGCTTTTTACTGCGTTCTTCAAGTTTTCCTCCAAATGCCTCAAGTCGATTGCTTGGCAGAGGGCAACCAAGAAGGTGGAAGACATGAGTTTTAAGATATCAAGGGCTTCCGCTGTTTTCCTTGAAGAGATTAGACCCAGCGAGTTAACATCTTGGTTGTGTTGCTCCGCGCTCTGTACATGACTCGTCACTGGATTTGCAAGATATTGAAGCTCAGAGCAATAGGAAGCCATCGCAATCTCTGCACCTTTGAATCCATAATCTAAACTTGGGTTTCTGCTTGCAGAGAGATTTGAAGGCAGCCCATTGTTGTAGAAGTCGTTGACAAGCTCTGAGAATTGGGCAAACATGAGCTTTCCAATTGAAGCAACGGCCAAACGAGTGTTGTCCATGGAGACTCCAATGGGAGTTCCTTGGAAGTTGCCTCCATGGATGGCCTTGTTCCTTGAAACATCAATCAAAGGGTTGTCGTTGACCGAGTTAATCTCTCTTTCGATAGATTTGGTTGAGAATCGAATAACTTCGATCAATGGACCAAGCCATTGAGGAGAAGTTCTAAGAGCATAACGATCTTGCTTTGGCTTCTGGAGAGGATCGGTTTCGTGCAATTTCTTTGCAGTTTTCATGTAAGAACTTCCGTCCAAGATGTGTTCCATAATTGCAGCAGCCTCGATCTGACCAGGATGATGCTTCAACTTGTGAGTCAAATGATCGGTGAATTCAGGCTTTCCTTGCATAACCTCAGCAAAAATTGCGGACAAAATCTCAGACAAAACAGCCAAGATGTTGGCCTCAAACAGAACAATGGAAGCCAATCCAGAACCAACAGCAGTGCCATTGACAAGAGCAAGACCTTCTTTAGGCTGCAGCTCGAAGAACCCAGAAGGAATATCAGCTTGTCGAAAAGCCTCCTGAGCATTAAGGCTCTCTCCATTTGGTCCAACCGCCTTAGAGTTGGGTCGGCCGGTGAGCAATCCAGCAATATAAGAAAGAGGAACAAGATCACCCGAAGCAGTGATGGTTCCACGAAGAGGCAAGCAGGGAGTGATGTTAGAATTCAAGAGTTTGGTTATGGCTTCCAAAATCTCAAATCGAATGCCCGAATAGCCTTGAAGAAGAGTGTTGATTCTCACCAACATGGCCGCCCTGGTAGCGGAGTGGGGCAGAGTATGGGTGGACTCAGCTCCACTTCCAAAGATCCCAGCATTCAAGAATCGAATCAGCTCCTTCTGAAGAGCGCCACCTTGATTGGTCCTTCTATGAGAGGTAGCACCAAAGCCAGTAGTGACACCATAGCTATCAGTGCCTTTGTTCATGCTCTCCATAACCCAATCACTGCTAGCTTTAACGCCCGCTCTAGCAGACTCGGCCAGTTCGACCACCACATGGTTATCACGAGTGGCAATGGCAGCCACTTGGGAAATGGTGAGAGTTTCACCACCGAGCTTGACAAGGGGCCTCCGGTACTCCTCCACCATGCGCTTCACCTCGTCGAGATGGCTCCCCTTGAGAGCCTCGGCAGCCACACCCCAGTTGAGTGGATCATTAGTGCTGATGCAGAAGCTCTCCACGGAACCATTTTGGGGGGCAAGTTGTTGGAAGGGAGCGGGGGCCATTTGTATAGCAAAATGAAAGATGAAGAGTAGAGAGTGTTAGAGAGGAAGTAAGAGTGTGAGTTGGGTTTGGATTTGAATTGATTTCTGAGTTGTGGAGAATGATGGGGGAAAATGGTTATATAGAGAAAGCTTTGTGCAACAACCGCTCAATGGGGGCTGCGTTGGGTAAAGGTCAGAAAGAGGCGAGAGAGGAAGGAAGAAAGAGCTCCGAAGGTTGGTGGAAATGGGTTGACATAAGAAATGTGGTCAAAATTTGAATGGTCAATGTTTGTAGGCCTTGGTGGTTATGTATGGATTTCTTGACTCCCCACTTTTTACCAAATAAAAAAGCAATATCTGTGGAGGTGAAGAATGATTGGAAGCGCCATGTTTGAACCCACGTCAATAAGCTTAATAAATATCTATCCCATAAAATACTATAAATTGGAAGTAAAGTAGATGGCGGCTTTAAACAATAAATTTACTAATTTCATATAATTTAATCTCCCACTACTCACTCATTTTGCTAATGCATTCCTCCTCTCTTTTTTTAGTCATTACTCATTCCTTTTATTTTCGTGGTCAAATGTATGGGTACCAAAAAATACAACACAATGTTCTATCTTCACCCCTATAGCCTCCTAGTTCATGTACGTCCTCGCTTCTATCGTTACATCTAGACCCCATCTGAAAATGATAAAAGTTATTATTTAGTTGTTCTGCTAGTCATGTTATTATTGACATGTTCACATCTTCTCTAATAGGGTTTAATTAACCTCTCTCTAATAGGCTCCATAATGAAACTTCATAAGGAGGGAGAAACCCTCCATCTAACCAACGCTTATCTATATATGTGATTCTTTATTCTCATCCAAACAAATTTGCAATTCGGGAGTGGTTGGAGATTTCCTTATCGCAGCCACATGCCGCTCATGAAGTTCTCGTGAGCTTCATTTATTTTAGGGCTCAAAGCCTAATTCTACCAACTCATAAAGGTATTACTATGGATCATTGCTAAACAGGGTAAGCTCACTAATAGAAAATTAACTGGCAAACATCTAATTAAGCTTACACAATACAAATCAATCATAGTTCGTTAGGTTATGGAGCCTGCTTATTTATAGCTTAGTCAACGCTTATCCATAGTAAAGTTATATTCGGTAAATAAATAGTAAATAGCTATATATAGTAAAAAAGTTATATTCGGTAAATGAATAGTAAATAGCTATATATAGTAAAAAAGTTATGTTAAATAGTAAATAGCTATATATAGTAGATGGTAATATCTGGTAAAGCTATATATAGTAAGCTAAACCATACTTATATCCAGCTTTATAAATGTACTCATATTATCTGTATTCTCTCTTACTATACATATCTGTAGTCATCAATACAAAAGCTTTAGTCAATATTCTCCTTACATTTTCTCTATCCTGTTCTTTGCATCAACACCTAGAACAGTGGAAGCTCAAGGATCGACAAGCGTTAGGGTTGATCCAATTGATGATATCCAAAAACGTGGCATTAACATCAGCAAGGAGAAGACAATATCAGATCTGTTGAAGGCGCTGTCGAATATATATGAAAAATCGTTGGCTATGAACAAGGTGTATTTGATGCAAAGATTGTTCGATCTACAAAGGTCTAAAGGTGGATTTGTTGTTGATCATATAAATGAATTCAATATGATCGTAGTCAACTGAGTTTAGTGGAAATTAATATCGATGATGAAATTAAAGTATTAATTTTGATGTCATCTTTACCAGAGTCGTGGGATACTATTGTTGTCGCAATCAGCAGTTCCCGAGGATTTGATAAATTGAAGTTTGATGAAATTCGAGATGTAGTTCTTAGCGAAAGTATTCGCAAACAAGAAATTGGAAATTCATCTGATAGTGCTTTCAATGTTGACCAACGGGGAAGAAGTAGGGCCCAAACAAAGGGCGATCAAAATCTCAGTGTTGACCAACGGGGAAGAAGTAACGTGTTGGAATTGTGGAGAAAAATGTCACTTTCGGACAGACTGTACAAGACCAAAGAGGAAGCATAATCACAAATTTGGAGATGATGATGATTCTATAAATTCAGCAGAAGACGTTGGAGATGCTCTAATCCTCAGTGTGGACAGTTTGATTGAATCCTGGATTTTAGATTCTGGTACATCTGTTCATTCGTCTCCAAATAAAGAGTTGTTCTGGAATTTCAAGTCTGGAAATTTCGATAAGGTGTATCTTGCCGACAACAAAGACTTGGAGATTAAAGGAAAAGGAGATGTATGTATAAAAACTCCAGCAGGAAATCAGTGGACATTAAAGGATGTCAGATATATTCTTGGTCTCAGGAAGAACCTGATCTCTATTAGTCAGTTGAATAACACAGGTTATGCAATAGAGTTAGGGAAGAGTTCGTTGAAGATTATGAAGGGTGTTATGGTGGTAGCACGTGGCATAAAATCTGAAACTTTATACACCACTGCAGGGTGTATAAACATGGTTGTTGTTGCTGAGAGTGCTTCAAATTCAAGTATATGGCACAATAAACTTGGACATATGAGCGTAAAAGGAATGAAGATGCTGGCTGCGAAAGGAGTTTTAGAAGGTCTGAAATCTGTTGATGTGGGTCGTTGTGAGAACTGCGTTATGAGCAAGCAGAAACGAGTTAGCTTCACAAGGACTGCTAGAGAATTGAAGAAAGTGCGGTTGACAATGGTCCATACAGATGTGGAGCATGGTTCCAAGACCATGGAGCAAGTTGGAGTTGAGCTTGAGTTGCAGGAAAACTCACTTAGTGATGTTGTAGCATATACTCAAGAAACTCCTGAGACTATTGCTGAGGAACCAAATGTGAAGCAAGGTTCCAAGACAACGAAGCAAGTGGGAGTTGAGCTTGAGTTGTAGGGAAACTCACCTAGTGATGTTGTAACAGATACTCATGAAACTCCTGAGACTATTACTGAGAAACTAGATGTGGAGCAAGGTTCCAAGACAACGAAGCAAGTGTGAATTGAGCTTGAGTTGCAGGGAAACTCACCCTGTGATGTTGTAGCAAATACTCATAAAACTCCTGAGACTGTTGCAAAGGAACCGGCAGTAGAGCAAGTGACACCTGAACCGATGTTGAGAAGATCATCTAGTACTATTAGAGTACCAGATATGTATGTACCTGTTGGGTTTCATGTCCTAAAACTTATAGTTTGTAAACAAAAACATATTCTATTTTCAATAAAGTTATTATTGTTGTTTATTCAATAAAGATTGTTATTGAATAAAGTAAACTTTATGATCATTAATCTAAATCCAATAAACTAAGAACACTCTGACTATAGTATGATTACTTGAAATATATATAGGGACATAAGAGTTGATCAAGTTCAAGTATATAGTCAAAATGATCTATAGTATAAGGATAAGGCTGAGTACCTTATTCTGGGGACACTATGGATGCGGCCTACTTTTGTATATGATATAAACAATGTGATCACTAAAATTGTACATGTGGAGACATGTGAGTGAGGGCGTCCTATGCAATGAGTATTGCATAAGATCGGACCATGAAGAAAATCACTCTCACTTTATAATGTCGTTTACTGTTGAGACTAATTTTCTTTTCATTTGATGACCTAGGTAACTCGATCTTAATCCTAAGCTAACCATGAATTCCTGTTTATTCGGAATTATCCTTAGATTTTCATGGGTGAGAGTGGCTCAAGTTCGCCGACTCAATAGCCCTCCCATTTCAAGGGTAAGACTGGGTAAATGGCTGGGGACGTGGGGTGCAAGATGGAATTCACTCCTACCCACTTTTAGGGATAGAAGAGAGATAGTTCCCTTAAGTACTGACTCCAGGTCTTGAACAAGGGGCCCCACCCTCTCATTGGCCTTAGAGGGATTCGGTTTACTAGTTGGACCACAAACAAATTGTTCATTGAAGGATCAGTGAGACACAAGAAACAAGAAGTAACTTCAGGGGTAAAACGGTAAATTGACCCAGCTCTAGTTACGAACAACCGGTGAAGGATCGACTTACTAACTTTGTTCATATCAAATGGACAGAAATATATCTATAGTGAGGGGAGTGCAACTACTAGGCTATAGTGGAATGTCCTAGTAGTTAACGAATGTTGGTTAACAAGGTTAATGAGTTTAACCGGTTAATCTTGGATCGTTGGAGCTCATGATCTATAGGTCCATTAGGTCCCTCTGCTAGCTCATATCGAACTAAACCATAGAACAGTGTGACGAGTGAGTTCGAAGTGTTCGAATTCAAATTAGGGAGAATGCACTACATATATACGATATATTTAACCGCATTTTTGTTTTATTTACGAATTAAACAAAAAGAGAGAATCTGAGATATTTAAATAAGATTTAAATATCTTAATCAAATATGTGTCTAAATTAATTGGAATTGGCATTTGAATTAATATTAAATATTAATTAAATAGTTTAATTAATCATTTAATATTACTTTAATTTGAAATTAATAGTTGAAATTGATTGTTGAATCAAAATGAAGAAAGTCAAAATGTTGACTTCATTTAATGGAAAAATCGATGTTAGTGGAATTAAATGAAAAATTCATGTTAATGAAATTTTGAGGTGTCAAAATTTGGTTTAACCAAACTTGCATGCTTGCCAATAAACCCTACAAATTTGAGTGAAATTTTGAGTGTCAAAATTTGGTTAACTCAAGCATGCATGCTTGCCACATAATCCCAAACATTTGAGTGGAATTTTGAGTCTCAAAATTTGGTGATCTCAAATATGCATGAACATGCAAACATGACTTTATAAATAGAGTGATCATAAAACATGAAAGTTCTTCTTCTTGGTGAAAACCCTTGAGAAAAACCTCTCACAAACACTCTTCATATATACAAAATCCCACCCAAGTTTAGTCACTCACCGGATTCCACAATCCTTTTCTAAGGCCGGAGGATAGTGGAGAAGACACTAGTGGTGGTTCGAAACCGGTTCGTGAGGAAAAAGAAATTTTGAACTACAAAAGGTTAGTATTCAAACTCATTAAGTTTTAATACTTATGAACGTGCTAGTTATTTACTATAATTGATGTTCTAAAAGTGCCTAAGATCCAAATTGCTTCCGCATGTGTTATATTAATACCATCAGTACCTTCATTAACTATATGTTGTTAATGAAAGGGAACCAGAGCCCTTTGATGAGGCCCTACAGTTGGAGGATACAACCAAGTGGGAGCAAGCCATGGATGATGGGATGTATAGGCTTCAAAAATGCGTTGTATTCAGGCTGAGTACGTGGCAATAACTGAAGCTCAAAAGGAGACGATATGGATGACTAACTATCTGAAAGAATTGGACAAGAAGCAATACGAAAAAATTCTTTATAGAGATAGTTAGAGTGCCATACAGTTCATGAGGAACCCGGTCTATCAATTAAAGATGTTAGGATTGCACAACAACGCACACACTCGATCTAGATGAACACAAAGAATAGGATAGAAAAAATGCAAGAAGAATATTGGCTAAAGGATTTGTATTGATGACTTCACGTATGTACACTAAGAGAGAATACAGAGAATACAAAAAGTACATATTCTTTAGCCAATATTCTCCTTGCATTTTCTCTATCCTGTTCTTTGTGTTCATCTAGATCGAGTGTGTGCGTTGTTGTGCGATCCTAACAACTGGTATCAGAGCCTCAGGAACTGCTGATTGCGGCAACAACAGTATCCCACGACTTGGGTCAAGATGACATCAAAATCAATGCTTTAATTTCATCCTCGAAATTAATTTTCACCGAACCCAGTTGAGTTACGATCATATTGAATTTATTTATATGATCCACAACAGATTCACCTTCAGACATCTGTAGATTGAACAATCTCCGCATCAAATACACCTTGTTCATAGCCGACAGTTTTACGTACATATTTGACAGCGCCTTCAACAGATCTAACGTTGTCTTCTCTTTGATGATGTTGAACGCCACGTTTCTGGATAACATCAACCGGATCAGCCCTAAGGCTTGTCGATCCTTGAGTTTCCACTGCTCCGTGGTCATGGTTTCCGGCATCACCCTCAATAGGGGTTCGTGAAGACCTTTCTGATACAGATAATCTTCAATCTGCATCTTCCAGAAATCGAAATCGGATCCATCGAACTTCTCAATTCAAATCTATGAACAATTACACACACGCAAGTAGTGGCTCGCCTAGAGGAAGAAGCCGTCCATCTTCACAGATCGTGGTGACTTTCGCCTAGCTTTGATACCAGTTGTTAGGATCGCACAACAGCGCACACACTCGATCTAGATGAACACAAAGAACAGGATAGAGAAAATGCAAGGAGAATATTGGATAAAGGATTTGTACTTTTTGTATTCTCTGTATTCTCTCTTACTGTACATACGTAAAGTCATCAATACAAATCCTTTAGCCAATATTCTCCTTACATTTTCTCTATTCTGTTCTTTGTGTTCATCTAGATCGAGTGTGTGCGTTGTTGTGCGATCCTAACAAAAGATAAAACACGGAAGGCGATACCATTTCACTTGCAGGTTAGTGGAAGATGGTGTGTGTTTTGAGAAGATAAAGGGTGCAAAGAATCCAGCAAACATGTTGACAAAATGTGTTGATGTTGGAATATTGAGGTGGTGTAAAGCCTCACTTGGTTTGGTGACATGAAGATGCTCATGGTCGTTTGAGAATGAAATTCTTGGTTGACTAGATTAGTCTTCAAGTGGGAGAATTGTTAGGTATTGGAGTATGCTGCTTATTTATAGCTTAGTCAACGGCAAACATTTCTTTGCTTGCTTTGATTCTCCATTTGCGCAAGGCATCGTTAGAATCCTCTACTGGTGGCATAGTTTCACTCCTGCCAACAATCTCCCAAAGATCCTGTCCTTGTAAATAGGATATCATGCATGTTGCCCACGTGTTGTAGTTGTTGTTGAGTTTCTTAATTCCTCCTACGATTTGGAAGTCACCCATTGTGTTGGTTATACATTAGTAATATCAAACAAGCTTTTTCAACACAAAACTTGCAGAGTCACGGACTATTCACAACACAAAGAAACTCACTCACTACATTCTCAAGACATCGTTTCTGATGTAGAAGATCAGACAGCACTGCAACTATAGAGCATACTAAGAATTCCAAGAGATCACAACCTACATCAACCTCGCTCTGATACCAGATTGTTGAACACAACTCTTTGTGAGAAACACTCGTACTCTTTATTAAGACCAATCGAGAAGAGAATGCAAGACACTTTATAGAATCCTACTCCTTTTTGCTTGGGATTTTGGGATGAAAAACTAGGTAGGGTGGAGGGGTATTTTTATATGAGAGCCTACACAATCTACTCTTGGGATTTTGGGATGAAAAACTAGTAGGGTGGAGGGGTATTTATACGAGAGCCTACGCAATCTACTCCTAACAAATCTAAATCTTCCTAAAGTATTTAGATCTCTTTCCCAAAATGTCTACTAAGATAAAATATACAATGAGCTCGTACAATTATTGGGTTTGACTCCATTAGGCTAGCGATGATATTTTAACACTCTCCCTCAGCACTAGTCCTCAACCGCTGCACCATGTTGAGCTGACATCGAAAGCTCTCATGTTAGCCCTTTTGTAATCAAGTCTGTCACTTGGTCTTCTGTCTTGATCTGCTGCATCTCGTTTTCTTCCTTCAAAACATTCTCTCTAATGGAATGGTAGTGCATCTCCACATGCTTTGTTCTAGCATGAAACACCGAATTTTCTACTAGGCGAATTGCAGATTGGTTGTCGTAATAAAGTGGTATTGGATAGTCAATTTTTTGGTGTCAATCTTCCATCAATAGTTTCAGCCAAGTACTTTCCTGAGCTGCTTCAGCCGCTGCTCTATACTCTGCTTCTCTAGTTGACAATGATATTGTTGGTTGTCTTTTGCTACACCAAGAAATTGTTCTTGAACTGAGCTTGAACACATACTTGATGCTTAATCTTCGAGTATCATGATATCCTTTGACATATCTCAAGGTCTGTCGAGCCACGTCCAAATGAGGCTTATTCGGACTTTTCATATACTGACTAATGACTCAAACTTCACTTTCGAATCCATTTGGTTGGTTCATGTAGATCTGCTTGTCCAACTTTCCATGCAATAAAACATTATTCATATCCATCTGCCAAAATTTTCAATCTTTATTTACCACAAGTACTAAAGGAGCATGTGCGATAGTGATCTTTGCCACTAGACTAAACGTTTCATTATAGTCTAGTCCATATTGTTGAAAAAACTCTCGAGCTACAAAATGAGTCTTGTATCTTTTGATTGATCCATCCAAGAGACACATTATTTTGATAAGCCCACTTGCAAGAGATGTATTTGACATCTTCTGGTCTTGGTACTAATTCCCAAGTTTGATTTTGCTCCAAGACTATAATTTTTTCCTCCATTACCTGCTGTCAAGCCGTATTTTGTGATGCTTCATACAGTCTCTGGCTCTTTAACTTCGTCTTTTATAATAGTTGCATTGACGTACTTTGGAATTGGCTTTTGGATTCTTTCTGACCATCTAAGTTGTTGAGGTGACATTTCTTTTTCACTAGGTTCGCTTGGTTGAGTCATTTCTTGCTCACCAACATCAGTGTCATTTGGATCTTCAAGTACATTGGCATTTATGCAAATGTATACAGTTTTCTCCCCCATCTCCCAAAAATTCTATCCTTGTAAATAGAACATCATGCATGTTGTCTACGTGTTGTAGTTGTTGTTGTTGAGTTTCTTGATTCCTCCTACGATTTGAAAGTCACCCATTGTGTTGGCTATACCTCAGTAATACCAAACAAGTCTTTTCAACACAAAACTTCTAGAGTCACGAACTACTCAGGATACAAAGAAACTCACTCACTAAATTCTCAAGAAATCGTTTTTGATGTGGAAGATCAGACAGCGCTGCAACTACAGAGCATACTAAGAATTCCAAGAGATCACAACCTACACCAACCTCGCTCTGATATCAGATTATTGAACACAACTCTCTGGGGGAAACACTCGCAATCTTTATTAAGACAAAGCGAGAGGAGAATACAAGACATTTTTTAGAATACTACTCCTATGTATTCCTTGTGATTTCTTAGGATGAAAAACTAGGTATGGTGGAGGAGTGTTTATGACCCTAAGCAATCTACTCCTGCCAAACTCTTTCTTAAAATATCTACATTTTTTTCACAAAATATTTACTAAGATAAATGAACAAGGGGCTCGTACAATTATTGGGGTTGACTCTATTGGACTAATGATAATATTTTAATTGACCATACTAAACCAAATCAATTCAAAACGAGTCAAGCCATACCGAACTAAACTGAATCGAACTAGACGGAATCAACATGAACCATACCTCTGAACTGATAACCCATGGCCGTTTTTCTTCTAGTGTGCAATAATTTTGGCGACCACCGACCAGTACTGACAGTGGAGATAGAAAAAATAGTCCATTATAAAACTCATCTCAACACCTATTCCTAGGAAAACTTAAAGAGGGTCAATTAGAACCATAACTTGTTTGGTGACCTTTGATGAATTAAATTGAATTTCCTAGATAAATATGTCGTACAAAAAACAAAAGAATAATAATAACAAAATACAATATCTTTGATTGGCTTCAATGTGCAGCAAAGGATTAGCAGATGGGAATTGGAGCACCGTTCCACTCTTTCAAGCACTCCAAGATAGAGTCGATCATCTTCCCTTCACACAGAGCTGTGAACACCTTCTCGCACTCTTCTCCCGGAGACATGACTTTTTCTCCTGTCAGTAGATTCGTTCCCAACTCTTCTCTCACAAACCTATACAATGGATAAGATCTGCAGTCCTTTATCTGATTCTCAATTTTGGAATTTCCACTCTCGTACCACGACCTTGCATTTTCGACTTCTTTTGGTAACACTGCCTTTAGTTCCTCCTCGAAAGCCCCAATCTTTTGGAAGATTGAAGTGTCTGCGTCCTTTTCACAATCACCATTGCCAAGTGCGTGCTCAACAAGGACTTGCCTCAACTTTTGGCTCAATGGGTAAGTGGCACTGCATGGATCATCGATATAAGCGAAGGTGTACTCTCTGTCCACAACCTTTAGAAGATCCTTCTCACAAAACCTTGATGGGTGAAGCGCTCCATTAGAGGATGTGGTCAACACTTTCTTGGCTGTTTGGCTAACACAGCTTTTTACTGCGTTCTTCAAGTTTTCCTCCAAATGCCTCAAGTCGATTGCTTGGCAGAGGGCAACCAAAAAGGTGGAAGACATGAGTTTTAAGATATCAAGGGCTTCCGCTGTTTTCCTTGAAGAGATTAAACCCAGCGAGTTAACATCTTGGTTGTGTTGCTCGGCGCTCTGTACATGACTCGTCACTGGATTTGCAAGATATTGAAGCTCAGAGCAATAGGAAGCCATCGCAATCTCTGCACCTTTGAATCCATAATCTAAACTTGGGTTTCTGCTTGCAGAGAGATTTGAAGGCAGCCCATTGTTGTAGAAGTCGTTGACAAGCTCTGAGAATTGGGCAAACATGAGCTTTCCAATTGAAGCAACGGCCAAACGAGTGTTGTCCATGGAGACTCCAATGGGAGTTCCTTGGAAGTTGCCTCCATGGATGGCCTTGTTCCTTGAAACATCAATCAAAGGGTTGTCGTTGACCGAGTTAATCTCTCTTTCGATAGATTTGGTTGAGAATCGAATAACTTCGATCAATGGACCAAGCCATTGAGGAGAAGTTCTAAGAGCATAACGATCTTGCTTTGGCTTCTGGAGAGGATCGGTTTCGTGCAATTTCTTTGCAGTTTTCATGTAAGAACTTCCGTCCAAGATGTGTTCCATAATTGCAGCAGCCTCGATCTGACCAGGATGATGCTTCAACTTGTGAGTCAAATGATCGGTGAATTCAGGCTTTCCTTGCATAACCTCAGCAAAAATTGCGGACAAAATCTCAGACAAAACAGCCAAGATGTTGGCCTCAAACAGAACAATCGAAGCCAATCCAGAACCAACAGCAGTGCCATTGACAAGAGCAAGACCTTCTTTAGGCTGCAGCTCGAAGAACCCAGAAGGAATATCAGCTTGTCGAAAAGCCTCCTGAGCATTAAGGCTCTCTCCATTTGGTCCAACCGCCTTAGAGTTGGGTCGGCCGGTGAGCAATCCAGCAATATAAGAAAGAGGAACAAGATCACCCGAAGCAGTGATGGTTCCACGAAGAGGCAAGCAGGGAGTGATGTTAGAATTCAAGAGTTTGGTTATGGCTTCCAAAATCTCAAATCGAATGCCCGAATAGCCTTGAAGAAGAGTGTTGATTCTCACCAACATGGCCGCCCTGGTAGCGGAGTGGGGCAGAGTATGGGTGGACTCAGCTCCACTTCCAAAGATCCCAGCATTCAAGAATCGAATCAGCTCCTTCTGAAGAGCGCCACCTTGATTGGTCCTTCTATGAGAGGTAGCACCAAAGCCAGTAGTGACACCATAGCTATCAGTGCCTTTGTTCATGCTCTCCATAACCCAATCACTGCTAGCTTTAACGCCCGCTCTAGCAGACTCGGCCAGTTGGACCATCACATGGTTATCACGAGTGGCAATGGCAGCCACTTGGGAAATGGTGAGAGTTTCACCACCGAGCTTGACAAGGGGCCTCCGGTACTCCTCCACCATGCGCTTCACCTCGTCGAGATGGCTCCCCTTGAGAGACTCGGCAGCCACACCCCAGTTGAGTGGATCATTTCGGGTGTGGCACAAGCTATCTTCAATCTTCTGAATGGCTGCCATTGTGGAAAAGAATAAGAAATTGGTAAAGAAATGAAATGGGGAATGTGAGAGATTTGAGAGGTGGTGGGAGAGGGTTGAAGGAGAAGAAGAAAACGAAGAGGGTTAAATAGAATTGGTGGGGTTGGTGAAGAAAGGAGGAGCGGCAATGACATACAATAGGTGTGTTCAATTTGGTCGTAGGTGCGGTGTGGTGGGCGAGAAACTACAATGGTTGGTGCAGGGAAACTATAAGTGTATTTGTTATTTAAATTTCCTCAGTCAAATTTGGGCGATTGTAGACTTTCATTTGTCGTTTTTTATTTTTCTTTTTTTCAGAAAATAAAGAAAAGAAAAGTTGAATAAAAAAATAAATAAATATTATTGTCACCAAACTTTGAAATGCTTACTTTTCACCAAACTTTATATTTGTTACTTTTCACCAAACCTTGAGCTTGGTTAGTCATACCTAACCTCGATGGTTTTAGTAATCGAATTCACAATACAATTTTTTAGTCGAGATGTGATTAAATTTTTTATTGAATTTATAAAAAAAAATAAACTTTTCAATTAGGGGTGTACATCCAACCGAGTAACCCGACAATCCAGACCAACTCAATCCAAATTATAGGAACGATTAGTAGTTCAAATTGGGTTGGGTTATTTTTATCGAACCCGAATTGATTCAGTTCGATTTCGTGTTTATAGGACAAAAATCTCGGATTGACCCAAACTGAACAAAAGTTATAAAACTCATACGCTAAGAAGTCAAGGGTATTAACGAGTCTGGTGTAGTAGTAATTGGGCTTATTAGAAGCGTGCGCCCCTACTCTTTGATTTTATTATTTTGTTTATTTTCTTTTATATTTTTTTATTAATTTATTATTTTTAGTTTTTTAAATTATTTTTTTTATTTAATTTCTTTTGTATTTTTTATATTTCTCATACTATTTTTAAACCCATTACTTATAACATAAATAAACTAACAAACAACTATCCATTCATTTTATACTATTTTATAAAGTGAATAAACTAAAATTTCAAGAATATAGTTTACAATAGATTATTGAATATGATTTATACCATATAAAACTTAGGATAGGTTATTGAATACGATTTATAAATCTTTTGAAACAAAAGCATATAGTTTTTTATACAAAAGCATATAATTTTTTTTATTTTTCTCATAATTCACGTAAATCTATTTTGATGTAAGAATTTTTTGTTTTTTTTTTTGTTATTTTTGTTAGGTATAGTTTTTTTAAAATTAATCTTTTTTATTTCATGATATTTTTCTTATTTATTCTATAAAAGCGTCAGTATTTTGTTGTTGTTGATGAATTTGTTTTTATTTTTTAACGATTATAGATTGATTTGTGTTTATTTGTGAACTTTTAATGTATTTTATCTCCGATTCTATCCAATAATTGTAAGTTGTGGATAAATAAAACTTTTTTTAATTTTTTTAAAAAGTTAACAATTCCACAATCCAACGAGTAGATAGAGGATTGGGTTGAGTTGAGTTACCAATCTGACGAACCCGAACTCTTGTGTTGGGTCAAAAAAAATCCTACAACCCAATCGAACGTGGACCATGTACACCCCTACTTTGAAATTATGATCGGAGTAAATTATAGAATTATTTTTCAAAGAAAATAAAACAGGAGGAATATTTGAAAGAAATTTGTGTAAATATGTGAGGAAATATATTGGAAATGGGATTGTCAGGACGACAAGGGAGTTAGCAAAGGAAAGTGAATGGCCATCAACCTTTTTGTTGACAAGTCATCGGAGAATTCACACAAAATAATAACAAATTCATTAGTTGATGATATGTGGAGGTGGATGCTTTGAGCTCGTGTCAATAATTTTATAGGAATTGGGATTGGAAATTTAATACTTGAACCATGAAATCTATCCTTCCATATTTAACATATCAATCTAAGCTGACCAAGTGGCCTACATAGGATTTACTATTGTAAAATTTAGAGAATTGGGAGAATGAAATACACCGACCATTTTAAAATTTAGAGAAAGAGGATTGGGAATTTAATACTCAAATGATGAAATCTAACATACCAGCTGGGAATACCGAACACCACCCCTAGATGAGATAGAGATAGGTCCCAAGAGCATAATTGCATGTATTTTTTAAGTAAAGGCAAAGATAGAGATAGGTCCCAAGAGCATCATGTACTGAGGACAGCGACATTGTGAGCAGAGACTTGTTAGGAATCACAACTCTCCACAATGGTATGATATTGTCCACTCTGAGCACAAACTCTCATGACTTCGTTTTAGGCTTCCCAAAAGGCCACATCCCAATAGAGATAGTATTTTTCACTTATAAACTCGTAATCTTCCACTAAACCAACCAATGTACGACTCACTCCCAATAATTCTCAACAAGATTGTGTTGAGCCTCGATTAGTGGGAGGCTATTCGAGAGCTCCATAAGCCTCAAGGGAGACTTATAGTGTACTTTGTTGAGTGGACGATTGTTGAGGATTATTGGGAGTGGGTCCCACATGATTAATTTAGAATGGGTTTATAAGTGAAGAATACTATCTCTATTAGTATTAGTATGAAGTATTTTGTGGAAGTGCAAATCAAAGCCACGAGAGCTTATGCTGAAATAATATCATACCATTGCGGAGAGTCGTGATTCTTAACATCGTAGGCTCATATTTAAATTATTTTATATTTGTTTTTATTTTCACTAAATTTCAATATTTCATATTTAAACACATAAGACCATGACCATGTTTTTCAGAAAAGATATGTTTTAAATTTTTCGAAATTTATACTATAGATGATATTTTCTTTTAAGAGTTATATTTCTGAATAAGAGATGAGCCTGATACGTTAATAACGACTCTGAGTATGTAAAAATTTAGGTTCATTATACATAA